AGATGAGTCCTTTCCTTTGGTCCTCTCGCCATCCTAATAAGCTACCGCCTGCCCCATGAGCAGTAACTAATCACAAAGAACCCAAGGACGTTTAGCACTCACAAAAGGCTTGATACAAAGAGTAGAAAAGAGAGGGTTGAACATGGCATAATCTTTGGGATAGCAAACCAATAACCACAGAACTATGGCAACTTCTTGGTCTCGACCTGGCCTTGTCATTGCAAATGCACCATTTCACCCTAATTCAGGATCTGCCTTGACTTCATAGTTTTTGCTGTGATGTTACATGCATATTCGATTATCCCAGTGAGAATAAATACCAAAGTCACCATATTTTATTACTTACATGGGCTCCATAAAGTAAACATCAAAACAATTTATTCATGATGGAAACGGGGAGGCAGGGAAGGTAGAAGAGAAACAGCTATCTGTATGCCAGTAGTTAAAACAGACCCTAGTATCCTATACAGACTCTTAGCCATTTCCCACCACACACACACACACACACACACGCACATGCACATACAATGTACACACACACACACACACATACAACCATACACCTCCTCCCTCTCTCCCAAGGAAGAACTTCTGCACAGTCCTTTGTGACTGCACTTTTGTGACATCTCTTCCTCTCCAAAGTCAAGTCTAACACTTATTTTAGACCCAGGTTCCACACTGAAGTACTGAAGGCAGAAAGAACTTTCTGCACACACACCCTCCAAGTCCCTAGAAAGACCCAGTAAAAGACCCTGTGACACACTGGAAAAGGGGCCTCTGCTTGGTGGAGGAAGATGGAGCTTCTGGCGTGGCCATGGCTGGGCACCGACTTTGAGGGTCCTCCCTGTTTTTGAGGTGACACTCCCTCAGTGACCTCAGGCCTCCCTGTGTGACCAAGGCACAGAGATCAGGCAACTATAGCAGGACAGAGCAAATCAGGCTCAGAACAGGACCCAAAGAAACACTAATTCCTTTCCCATGTGCCACCTACCCAATCCAACCACCACAGTGACAGGCAGAGTAGGCCTTCAGGACCTATCTGTGGTTGACTGAATAAACTACAGAACTCATGCAGGACTGTTGGCCAACTCCCTCCTCTCACCATCTTTTCTCCCCAGGTTTCAATATTGAACAACACGACCAAAAATTACACCTTCACATTTGCTAAATGTGCTGGAAGGCTTCTACAGATATCGAACAACCTTGCTAATAAAATTCACTTTCACTTTGATTCTTATCAGTGTGCTTTCAGCCATGTACGTGCTATTTTCAAAAGACCCAGTGGGTGGCAGTAATACCAAAGAAATGACAGCTGTCCTTTCCTGTTAAGTGACTTGTTCAACACTGTATAGCGCAGAAGGAAGAGCCTGATAGCTGGCAGACTAACGTCTGCCTGACTCCCAGCTTCAGAGAACAATTTATCTATCTCTCAGAGCCAGTTTCTGAGATGATATATGCAAAGACCTTGGTATAGCGTGTAGCACACAACAGAGTACATATAAATGGCAGCTACATTAATCACTAAGCCTGACCAACAAGAGTTCCACATGAGAAACAGAAAATGTCTATTCCCTTTAAAAGCAGTTTCAAGATGGGGGGAGGAACTATCTGAACACAATCCTGTAAAAGAGAATAAAATTAATCCCCAATGATGATGAAAAGGTCTTCAATGTCCAGGCAAATTCTCTGAGCCAAATTTAAAAGGTTCTTCATCTGGATACTTCATCTCTTTCTACAGTGCTTAAATTCATTCATTCACATATTCAGCAAATATTTATTAACTTCATAGTATGTGTCAAGTAACACTCTTTGGAAAAAAGTCATCTCTTTAAAAGACACTGCACGTGTGTAATCCCAATGATATGAAGACAAATTCTAGTTCCCAATGAATCCACACTCATCATGTCATCCATGCACACAACCTTCAGGACAATTCGCTTCTTGTAGGACAGTGATGGCCTTTCCAACAAAATCTTGGAGCACATGGTTTGACAAAGGTCTTTCTGATTTGTGCATTTCACTTTAAATTCAGCAACATGTATTATATACCAGACACTGTGTGAGCTGTCACAAATACAAAAAATCAAAGCTATAGCCTCTGCTTTAAAGAATCTCAGAGCCTAGAGGGGAATCAGGCAAGAATTAGCAACTATCCTAAAGAGTGAAAAATGCAATGATGGAACCCCAAGATGCAGGTCACAAAGCTCAGCTGAGAGACTGACAACAACACAACCATAGTGGGGGACTTTAACACCCCACTGTCAGCATTGGACAGATCATTGAAACAAAAAATCAACAGGGAAACACAGACCTTAAATGACTCACCAGACATAATGGATTTCATTGACATTTACAGAACATTTCATCCCAAAGCAGCACAATACACATTCTTCTTAAGTGCACATGGAACATTCTCAAAAATAGACCACATGTTAGGGAACAGGGCAAGTCTCTACAAATTCAAGAAGATTGAAATCATATTAAGCATCTTCTCGGATTACAATGCCATGAAACTAGAAATCAACCACTATAAAAAAACTCAAAAATATTCAAACACATGGAGGCTAAATAGCATGCTATTAAACAATGAATGGGTTACCAATGAGATCAAGGAAGAAATCAAACACTTCTTGGAAAAAAAATGAAAATGAACAGACAACACCGCCAAATCTATGGGACACAGTGAAAGCAGTCCTGAGAGGAAAATTCATAGCATTACAGGCCTATCTCAAGAATAAGAAAAAGCTCTAATAAACCATCTAACACAACAACTAAAAGAACTAGAATGAGAACAACAAGAAAAGACTCAAGGAAATAGAAGGAAGGAAATAATAAAGATCAGAGCAGAAATTAATGACATAGAGACTAAAAACACAATACAAAAAAATCAATGAAACCAATAGCTGGTTCTTTGAAAAGATAAATAAGATTGATGCACCTTTAGCCAGGTTCACTAAGAAACAAAGAGAGAGGACCCAAATACATAAAATCAGAAATGAAAAGAGGTGATAAAACAACCGACCCAACAGAAATAAACTTAACCAAGGATGCAAAAGACCTGTACTCAGAAAACTACAGGACACTAAAAAAAGAAATAGAGGAAAATATAAAAAAGTGGAAGAATATTCTATGCTCATGGATTGGAAGAATTAATATCATTAAAATGTCCACACTGCCTAAAGCAATTTATAAATTCAATGCAATTCCTATTAAAATACCAACAGCATATTTCACAGCTCTAGAACAAACATTTCAAAAATTTATATGGAACCAAAAGAGACCCCAAATAGCTGGAGCCATCTTGAAAAAAAAGAACAGAGTGGGAGGGATCACTTTACCATACATCAAACTGAACTACAAAGCCATTGTAATCAAAACAGCCTGGTATTGGTACAACAGACATATAGATCAATGGAACAGAACAGAGACCCCAGAAATAGACCCAAGCCATTATGGTCAGTTAATATTTGACAAAGGAGGCAAGAGCATACAATGAAGTAAGGACAGTCTCTTCAATAAGTGGTGCTGGGAAAATTGGAGAGATAGATGCAAAAAAATGAAGCTAGACCACCAACTTTCACCATACACAAAAGTAAACTCAAAATGGATAAAAGACTTAAATGTAAGTCTGGAAGAAAACATAGGGAGTAAAGTCACCGACATCCCACATAGTGAAATTTTCACTGATACATCTCCTAGGGNTGAAGAAAACATAAGCAGTGAAGTCACAGACATCTCACATGGTGGAATTCTCACTGATACATCTCTTAGGGCAAGAGAAACAAAAGAAAAAACATACATATGGGACTACATCAAACTAAAAAGCTTCTGCACAGAAAAAAAAAAAAACAGCCTCAAAATACAAAGGAACCTCACGGTCTGGGAAAACATATTTGTCAAGGATGTATCTGATAAGGGGCTAATTTACAAAGTGTACAAAGAACTCATACTACTCACCAAGAGGAAGACAAACCACCCAATTTAAAAATGGGCAAAGGACCTGAATGGACACTTCTCCAAAGAGGATATACAGATGGCCAAGAGACATATGAGAAAATGCTCAACGTCGCTAATCATCAGAGAGATGCAAATTAAAACCACAATGAGGTATCACTTCACACCTGTCAGAATGGCTGCCATCAACAAATCAACAAATGACAGGTGCTGGCGAGGATATGGAGAAAGGGGAACCCTAGTACACTGCTGGTGGGAATGGAGACTGGTGCAGCCACTATGGAAAACAGTATGGAGGTTCCTCAAAAAATTAAAAATGGAGCTGCCTTTTGACTCAGTGATCCCACTTCTAGGAATATATCCTAAGAATCTCGAAACACTAATCAGAAAGAATATATGCACCTCTATGTTCATAGCAGCGCAATTTACAATAGCTAAGATCTGGAAACAGCCCAAGTGCCCATTAGTAGATGAGTGGATAAAAAGCTGTGGGACATTTACACCATGGAATACTATGCAGCTGTAAGGAAGAAGGATCTCGTACCCTTTGGGACAGTATGGACAGGCCTGGAGAATATTATGCTAAGTGAAATAAGCCAGGCAGAGAAAGATACACATCACATGATCTCACTTACATGTGGAATCTAAAGAACTTAATAAACTGATGAACAGAATAGATTCAATGACATGGAAGCATGGATCAGACTGATGAATCTCAGAGGGATGGAGGAGGCTGGGTGGGTGGAGGGGGAGAGATTAACCAAAGAATGTATATGCATATATGCACAACCCAAGGGCACAGACAATCGTGTGGAGAGGGACTGGGGACGAGGATGGGATGGGGTGGAATGGGTCACTGGGGAGAAAAAGGGACATCTGTAATATTTTAAGGAAAAAAACACACAAACACAACAAAAAAACAAAGCTCAGCTGATAGGGTCAAGAAAGACATCCCCCAAGGAACTAATTAGAAGAATACAGTAGGAATGCAGGAACTAAAAGGAAGGAAATAATGAGCACTTAAACTAATAATAATGGGAAACAGGTTAACATTTTTAATAATTTTAATGCAAATTCTAAAGCAAATCTTGGGATTTATACTTCTTCAGGCCGGTCCCTATACAGATAACACAAAATAAATAATGCAACTGCAGTAGTTCAAGAATTAGAAGCAGCATGTTCTGCACTGCTCTGCTATTTTTTAGCCTTGTAATAATGGAAACATTGACTCTGAATCTCCTTTTCTTATGTTAAAAATGGCAATAACACTACCTGCCCTGACTACCTTCTAAGTTTCTTTTAAGGATCACATAAGAAAATATGAGAAAGAACTTTTTTGCTTTTGGAATACTTTTCTATTCATCTAAATCAACTTCTTACTAATCACTTGAAAAAAATTCAAGTAATTCAAAATTCAATACAAATCTATAAGCTATACATAAAAGGCTAAATTTTATTGTTTGTCCTATACCATAAAAAGACAGTACATTTAGCAATGCATAGCATTAATAAATTCTGTCCTAAGTGTACTGCAAAACACTGAGGCTATACAAATTATGATCATTTCAATAATTTATATCTGGAAAATTATCTTTGCAAATAGATTATGATTATTTAAGCAATTGTAAGCATAACAATGTATGATGCAACAAAAATTACCAATAATGTAAAATAAAGTTTTAAATTTGACTGTATTATTAATGCTGATAACAGCTATAGGATAGGGACCTAGTATTTTTTTAACAACTTGATAGCTTCTAAAATTAAGTTGATCTTAACAACATTCACAGGATCCCCAAAATTTGCTAGGTTGCTACTTTTAAACATTTACTAAAATTGATTCTTGCTGTTAAATTAAATTGTATAAATATCAACTGAGCACCTAACTAGGTACAAAGAACTGTGACAGGTACTGTACAGAACAAGGATGAGTGGAATACTAGCCCTGCTTTCAAAGGCTTTTATAGACGCCACACACACAACACTCACACACGCGTGCACGCCAGCTATATGCTAATTACTATTCAAACATTTCCAGTTCTTAACTTTTTTACACCTTGCTTTAGATTATGTGCCTTTAGTTAATATATGATGCGGATATCGTGAGTAAAAAACCTGAAGGATTAAATCTAAGGATGTTGTGGCTCCTCAATGAACCAATATAAAAAGTCTAGTTAAAAGTCTCTTTCAACATAAATACTAAAAATACGTATCCTGCAAGTAATTTTGTTAGTGAACTGGCACAATGATATTAAAAAGTCTTATAAAGAAACAATCTAGTTATCTACTTAACTCCCTCTATACAAACATAATTTACTCATAATGCTAATGAAGCAGCCTTGTCATGTGGAAATCATGCTACACTTACAGGGCACTGAAGAATGTGTCTATATCTAACATTTAAAATGACTTATAAAATACTGATCTTTACAAATATACCTCATTATTTATATTTTTATTTTCAGAAAAAGACTTATAAATATTTCACCTGAATACATGTCTCACTAGTTAAATCACAATTCACTTTATAATTAATTAACTTATATCCAAAGACAGTACTTTCCTGTATGATTTCATTTTCTTAAAAGCAAAACAGCACTTTATTTCAGTAGAAAAAAATTTACATGTGAAAGTCAAAGACAATAACTTCAGTAAAAATGGAAATCAACCACCATATCTTTTCTTGAGTTCCTCAACGGAATTATCCTTCAATCCTGATTTCTCTATGTGGTTGAATAATACATGTGCAACTGAAAAAGAAAAATAGTATTCATGTTAATCTCCATTTTTAAAAAATTTAGTGAAATAAAAATTAGAGTAATCTGATCTGTTAAATAAAACTTTTTACATTTCAAAGTAATAATCATTAAGATTATTCATAAATTCTAATTCAGATATTTAAAAAGCCAACCCAAGAATAGAAAATTATACTGCAATCCAATGTTTCTTACCAAAATGTTTTGCTCTAGTAGTAAAAAATTTCCCCTATACCCTCAATGACATTAATCTTACAGAGTAAACTTAACTCATTCTAAGCTTCCTAAAATTTTTACTCTATTTAACAAGCGTATTTTTACCTAATATTATAACTGTTTTTCAAACTTAAATCATTTTATTTCAGAAGAAAATTTTATATCACTACTCTAAATTGAAAATTAGCAATAACATCTACGAAATCATGTTTGATGGGCTAGTTATACATTTTTATAATATATACTAAAAATACATATATAACTATTAAGAGTTCGAAGATCTTCCTATGAACCATGTAAAATCTTTTTATTTCACACCACTGAATGGTCCACACTCAACACTTTGGAAAATACTGTTATAGTTCATCTATTTCTCAACATTAAAACTAGCTAATAGTTGTTAATAATAATGGCAATAATGGAAGATAATAGCAGGTAACATTTATTGAAAGTTTAGTTACATGCTAGGAACCATTATAAGTGCTTCCCATGTTTAACTTAGTGGACATTGGTAACCCAACCAAGATTGAAGGCGAGTCTGAAGAGCCAACTCACATTCTTCGAGTACACTTGAACTTATCACATTACAGTGGCAAGAAAATCATTCATTCAACACGCTTCTACTAACAGATTATTACGTACTAAGCACTGTTCTACACCTGAGGCCTAGAAAACAGGGTAGAGACAAAATTCCTGCTTTCATGGAGCTTTAATTCTACTAGGGAGAGAAATAATAAACATATACATGAAATACCACCAGCTAGATATATATTATGAAGGAAAATACAGCAAGGTAAGAATACAGAAGGTGACGAGGGAGGGGAGGCAGGCAGTTACTTTAGCTAGGACTGGTGAGGAAAGGTATCTCTGAGGTGGTGACTTTCAGGGGGAAACTTCAATGAAGTGAGGGAGCTGGCAATGTGAAGATATGTGGGGAGATATTCTAGGCCAAGGGAACAGCTGAAGGTAAAGCCCCTGAGGTTAAATTAAGTCTGGCAGTTTTGGTATATTAAAAACATCAAGCAGTGTGGTGGGGCAGAGTGACTGAAAAGTGGTGGAAGATGACGTTGGAGAGTAATAAGAATAATACTTTAATTGAAGATAAAGCAGAAATTTCTTTTGGTTTAAACTCTATTTTAAAATCTCTCTAAATTACATATTCACATCCCTAAATACAACATAAAGAGTATTTTTCTTACTGACTGAGACTCATTCAATGTCACTGCTAGATACATAAAGAATAAGAAAAGGAGCCCAAAGTACACTTAGCTTTGGAGGTTTGAAAATGGTACGAGTTTTCACTATCTTTAAAACTAAAAACACTGGTACTCTGGTATTCTAAAGATTTTTTTTCTCTTTCCTAAAACTACAGTATAGCCCAAACTTCTAGGTAACTGAAGTTTCTGCAGAGTTTGATCTTATTTAAATTAGAGTCTCCCAAGAGAACACTTTCTGTCAAAGACTGAGCTGAACGAATAAGGGATCTAATCCTTCAGGCTCATCACCTGCCACTCTTCACCCCCTAACTCTACAATCCAGTCACACTGTACTTCTTTTAATTTTCTAAACTTAATTGGCTCTTTCCTGCCTCAGAGTCTCAGAACACATTTCTTCAGTCTAAAACTCTTCCTTACCCACTTCATCTGATTGAATCCTGTCATTCTTTGAGAATTCGGCTTAAATCAAACAAACTCAAGGAAATTAGCTCTCACAGAATGGGTGAGATGTCAGTGCACCCACAGCCAGTCACATGCCCCCTGTGACAGGGAACCTTTACATGTTGCAAGACAGCAGGACTCAGCCATTCTGTTATTACTGAATTTTCAAGTAGAACAGACTAGACTCTAGAGGAGGACTGCCTAAGTTTAAATCCTGGGTCTGACTTCTAGCTATATGACCCTGATTGCATTCCTTACCTCCCTATGCCTCAGTTTCCTCCTTTGTAAAAGAGGAATGATAATCATACCAACAAATCATAATGTCATTAGTATTAAAATTTTTAATTTTACTTAATTATAATTAATTTTAATTTTATTGTATGCACCTTGAACATAGTAAGCATTCAATAAATGTTTGCTATCATTTGTTTAAAAAATAAAGAACAATATGAGAATAAGGAAGTATGGCAAGGCTTTGCTCGCAGAACTCACTTTTCTTCTCCGGTTCTGACATAAACATCACTGCCATATCAAACCTTCTTAGCTCAGAAAGCCTTCGTAAAACTTCCAAGATGAGTGACGGCCTTTCTTTCCTGAAATAAGCCAAATAAAAAACAAACGATCCATTAAAAGTAGTTCATTTACTTCTTTACTAACACAATATTTCTAACTATATATAAATAAGGTCTTCATTTATCTTTTTCCCTGAACACTCTTTATTTTAAGTACCCAAATGAAGAAATGTATCAAATCAACTGAAGAAATTATAATATTCTCAAATGTGAGGCTTGGCACAAACGTTATTTATCTGTTAGAACACTTGTCACTTCCATATCCTACTTTTCTCTAAAAAAATTAAACTTAATCATTTCCCTTATTATTGCTTGCACTTATCAACTCTTTACAACTTCTGCAATAGTAAAATTTCACTAGAGCTAATTTTGCCATATAAAAAGTAGTAATAATATCAAAATGAATGAATTTCCCAAACCGCTAGAAACAGCATCGCACTACAATATGAAAGTACAACTAAAAAAATTCAACTTACTCAATATAAAAGTCATGCAGAATTTTAATGATTTGGTTGAATACATCTGGATCTAGATTCTTCTGAAACAACTTAGGATACAAGGATGGTTCAATTTTCTTGGAAAAAATATAGAGTTAGAAAATTAAATTATGGTAACATTCAGATATAAATAACATATAATAATTGCCAAGGTGAATACAGTCAAAAATAACTACTATGCATTAGTACATAATGAATAATAATGGTGGGAGGTCACACCAAAATGTAGTTAATGATAGAAGAGAAAAGGTTAGAGGAACTGTAAAATAATCACTCTGTACAAGTCAAAGAAAAACCTCATGGCCTGGCAGGGGGTGGCTCAGAGGCTGAGCATCAACCTATGATCCAGGAGATCCCAGTTTGATCCCCAGTCAGGGCACATAACTGGGTTACGGGATCGATCCCCAGTCGGGGGTATGCAGGAGGCAGCCAATCCTATGACTCACTCTCTCATCATTGATGTTTCTATCTCTCTCCCTCTCCCTTCCTCCCTCTGAAATCAATAAAGATATATTAAAGAAAAAAAAAAAGAAAAACCTCATGAACAGAGAGATATACAACACCCTGAGAGATAGGAAACTTGAGAGCTCTCAAGGAGCAATAAAAATAGAGAGTTTAATTACATGAGATAGTGTATTTGGAAGTAACTATACTGCATAATTATAAGGAATTATTACTATAATTACACTGGAGAAAAACTATATTAATCTATAATTTGGTAAATTTCATATGATTTGATTCTTTTTCTTGAAGCAAATGAAAGCTCATTTTCAGGAGAATGACTGCCTAAATATTACAAGCATTACTTGACACAAAGAAGGCATTTAATGTATTTTAGCTTCTTTCCCCATCTTGAAGGATGAAGAATTAAGCTGAAGTTATGATATATGAAATCAGATTAAGTTATTCTTAGAGAAGAGAATTCAAAACAGAACCTATTTCCAAAGGTTCCTTGGTTGCAAATATTTTAAATGGTCCGGCCAGGGTAGTACATGTATCAGGCAAGGGATAATAAAAGCATTTTCTACAATCATATGACACAAAAAGCAAATGTAACACTATTATTATATAGTGGCAAAGACGTTCTTTGAGCTCTTCCTTACCGTCAAATACTGATATAACATATCTGGAGAACTTTTCAGTTGTCTGAAATCAGATTCAAGCTGGAATGAGTTGGTAGGAACTGGAGGAAGAACGGTTGTGATAAACTGAGCAGGAGTTTCGTCTACTACAGAAATCTTCTCACGGAAAGACTGACATACATCCTGTTTCAAATTAACTTGAGGTCTGAAATATTTCAGAGACATCAGTCAAACAACTGAAAAGAACCAAAATTAGTCAAAGCTTAATAAGAAAACATCAATGGAGATTTTTAGATTTCTGATTTTGCTAATATTGTATTATCTAATTTCATTCTAAAAACACTAAACTTTTTCAGCTGAAAATATATGTATACTTTTCACAAGACATTATCCCTCTGCAAATCTGCACATGCTACATGACTATTCTCACCTGCAGGGCTATAAGCCTGGCCACCTTTTGAGTATACCATTTCTATATACTGTATTCACTATATCACATATACTTACAACTCAGCCTTTCAGAAATCTGAATTATCAGTTTCAAGAAAGACATTCTGAGAAGGAAGAAATGCTTCCTCCTCAAAAAACAAAACCTACCTAATTAGTGTTTTCCCACAATCCGTATTATTCGAAATCACCTGGCAAGCGTGGCTCAGCAATTAGCATCAACCCATGATCTAGGAGATCATGGTTCAATTCCTAGTCACGGCACATGCCCAGGTTGCGGGCTCGATCCCCAGTAGGGGGCAGGCCGGAGGCAACCAATCAATGAATCTCTCATCATTGATGTTTCTATCTCTCTTTCCCTCTCTCCCTTCCTCTCTCTGAAATCAATAAAAAATATATTTTAAAGAATTAATGTTAAAAAAAACACATCTAATAGGATTGTTGAGTGTAACGCAAGAATATATGAATAAAGTGTCAAGACCCCAAAACAAACCTAGTCTGTACCTTTTATATTCTCATCATTAAGGAAACAAGTGACTATTTTTTAAAATTCCAAACAAAATTTAAACAGCCTACAAATAATCTTAAATATGAATAGCTAGAATAATGTCTGAATTCTACATTTTTTATAAGCTTCCTTTTAAAAAAATTTAAAAATTTTGCTGAATTAAAAGTGAAACAATATACTGAAGTTCTGGGGGGGGG